AAAAAATATCAAAACAAGTTGATAATGTTAGATCCCACTATCACAATTTGCACTGCTACTGAAATCGTGGGGTGTTCGTCGTGATCCTATCAGGTCGTATCACATATTGAGGTCAGTCATGGCAATCGTGTTAATTTGTATTGAAACGTATCCGAACGTACCAGATCGTGGACTCATTAGGGACAATCCTATCGTAATGCATTTCACAGCAGTGGAAACCTAGCATAAAGTAAAATAAATCACGCTACGCGTATTCCTAAAGAGCTAAAAATGTTAACAGGTATCCTCAAGGAGCAAAATATCAGTAAATGTACATGTTCCCAAAGAACAAAAGTTAAATTTGGTCAGGCCTTACTATGAGTTCTGTCTGAAAAATGAAAAATTATTGATCATTATGATCATTTCTGTAAAGTAAAAAAAACCCAACAAGGGTGTTAATTGATTAGATAAGTAACTTGTACATGGAAATATCTGTCAATTAGACACAATTGGTTCATTAATATGGCTTCTTTATTTGCTTAACTGTTTAATTTAAAGTCAAAGGCTTTTTCTGTTTTAGATCTTTCAAGTCGATCCAACTTCACATCTAGATATTTTGTTAACAGATTGCCTAATGATTGCAACAATAGCTCAATCCGCTAGATTAAACATCTTTCCTAATCACTATGCCAACAGATTATCACAAAAAAATACAGAAGAAAAATCAACACTCATTGTTCTGAAATCTAAAAGACTGTGCTATTGGTTCAATGATCTGAATTATTGATTACCAATGGTAGCAGTTGTTTCATTGGTTTGATTGTCATACATATGTATGAATTAAGGTAATCATGCTCCCAACATGGTTTCTATAATCTGGGATTAGCTACCTGGTGATAATCTCCTGCAGGTCAAAGTTCTTGACGATTTCCAGTACTTATCCTTGTAATAATATTAGTGGGTTCATTGTATTATTATTCAAATTTAGTCATGGTAATGTCAAGGCAGCGGTATTAACCACCTAATATATAAGATAGATGTTAAGGATATTTTCTTCATATTGCATTCTATATTTTGTGAGGAAGCAACTAATACTGGACTTAGTATAACCAAGTAGAAAGGAACATAGTGGATATACCTCAGATATTATTTATATTATCTAGAAGTGACTTGAACTCAACCTGGTATATTATTATCTAGTGATTTAAACTATAAATAGGTAGAATATATACCTCAGATATTTTTTTATATTATCTAGAAGTGACTTGAACTTAACTTGATATATTATCTAGTGATAACTGAATAGGTAGGATATATACCTCAGATATGTTTTTATATTATCTAAAAGTGACTTGAACCGAACCTGATATATCATTATCTAGTAACTTAAACTAAATAGGTAGGATTTACCTCAGATATTTTTTATTATCTAAAAGTGACTTGGACTGAACAGGTAGGATATAGCTCTCATATTGTTATTTGAAAGTGACTTGAATTCAACAGGTAGCATGTTTTGGTTATACCTGTATAGTCTTTTTGTATGTATACTCCAATATCGAGCTAGCCTGTTCCTCAATCCTTTATTGAGAATAAAATATTATTTATAAAAGAAAAATTATTATAATCTAAAATTGACTTGAACTAAACAGGTATCTTTGTATATTTGAAGTTTTTATGTAAATAATTGTGGAATACTATAAAAGAGGTAAAGTGATGTATACTGTACTCTAGTTCCATCATCTTTTTGTATAGTAATAATAATAATGTCATTTATAGAGCTCTATTCGACACAGTATATTCAAAGCGCTTGTGATTCAATTCTGTTCAATAGAAGTTATACACCAAGGCACCACTAAATATGTCTTCAGTGAAGTTTTGAATGTCTATTAGGTATTTTTTGAGGTGGATAGGATTGTACCAATAATACTGCAGCAGTGCATTTAAAAGATTGCACAAAAAAGATTTTAGATGCAAGTTGTAATTGGCAATTGTTAGTAGAAATTTGTCATTCGACTAAGGTTTCTAGATGAAGAATTGTGATGAACAAATAAGCTCTTGTAGGTATGAAGGTGCTTTTCCATTCATTGTAAACCAAGTAATAATTCAATCCGTTCATGAATCCAAAGCCAATGTAACAATACTAGAGATATATGCTGTTCCCTACATAACAAGTCTGCCGCCATCTTTATGTGCCATGAACCAAATTGATGGCCCAGTTTTTAATTCGTCTGAATCTAAGCCATGAGATTATCTAGGGTTAATATTTTTATTTCTAATTAAATGTTAAATAATCAATCTCTGACGTATTAACACATACATTTTAAACCCTGAGAAATTTAATATTTTTTTTTAAAAAATGCAAATCAAGAATGGTTACTTTAAAATATTTTTTTTCTAAGATACCTGACTTTTTTAAAACAATGAAGAGTCGTCTAGTAGTAACATTAACCAGCAAGCTACATACATTTCAATTTTTGATTGGCAAGATTAATCGGAGACTGTTTTGTTTGCTGATATTAGTTTGCTGATATTAGTTTTATATTTGGCTTACTGTGTTGACTCAAGAACACACAATCAATTTTATCTCTACATTAGCTTTATCTGTGGACATAAAATTTTTGTTATCAACAAATTCAGATAATCCTACGACAAAACCTATCCAGTATAAAATGGATCCATGTATAGAATCCAAGGAAATTGACAGAGTTTATTTTTGCCCCGGATCGAAGAGATCCAGTCGTTCTAAGTGAAATGAAATGGGGTTTAACGTCCTACTTTTCTGCAAAAACTTGGCTAATAAAGACAGGCATACGCCATGCAGGCTGTTATAAGTTTTTTTTGTACCATCCGAATGACTAGACACTGTCCTTGTAAAACCCTCCATCCAGCACCACTTTAAGTACATAAATTTTATTTAGCTAGGCCTAATATTTTTTATTTATTATAAATGATAAAACCAGCCAAACATGTTTACATGTTATTCATGTTTATAAATAACACCACTTGTTGATTGCATCACTATTTGAAATAATTCTAACAGTTTAGCAGTAGTGAAGTGAGCAATAGGTTTAACACACAAATGTTGCCTAGATATCGGGGTATACATGTAATGACATGATATATCATTTTTATTCTAGTATGATTATTGTATATTATCATGCAATACCTTCCTGAGTTAACTAGTGATTAGAGTCTCTATAATCTGACATTAGAATAGTTATCACCCTGTTACTGGTACCAGTATATGAATATCATCAGCTATAGAACTGTTATATAGATAAGGAATTATCAGTAACTTAACGATTTGGATATTTTTACAGTACAGTGAGTTGTGTATTGATTTTGTTTAAAAAAAAAAAAAAAAAAATGCAGCCTTTATGAATTTTTGTTTATTTTTGTTTATGGAAATTATCATTGATTTTGCCCTGGATCGAAATGTTGATGCTTACATTTAGAAAAGAAAATCATGATCCGTAAAATGCATTTTAATTTAGATTGTTTTGATGTCAATAACTATTCATTAAAATTAGGAAAAAATTCATGCAGTGTCCCTTTCATGCTAATTTGTAAAATTAAAGTAAGAAAAGTTTGAACAAAATAATCTTACATTTTAATTACTGTAAAAAGAAAACCCTTGGAAGTGCATTAAAGATTGCGCAATGATTCGTAATAAGCATATGGCTGCCATTTCTCCGAATTTAAGACCCTTTCTTGCTAATTTGTAAGATTAAAGAAGTTTGAAAAAAAAACCCTTACAATTTAATACCTATAAAAAGAAAACATTTGAATTTTTGGATAATTGCATGAAAACAAGATTGCATCATTCTTTGTAATAAGCATATTATATGACTGCCATTTCTCTGAATTTAAAACTAAGCAGATGAAACATACATTATGCAAGAGCTAAATCTGCATATTGCAGGTCTTTCTTTAGGCCTGAAATGTTATCTAAATTATTAATTAGACATTAATTAACTTATCCAGACCATAATCAACTCTTGATGTCAACGCTAGCCTACGATGTTTACTGGATTAGGATACCATTTGCTGCTCAACTTTCATTCTTGATTTAATCATTAAATGGATAATCGAGAATGTTTTTTTATCGTACCGACTTTAGTAATGATGATCGAGGCCAGGCAGAATATTCAATCGCTAAAATCTTGGTTCAGAGTGAATCAATTTGACTGAAATTTTCAGCAAATTCCCTTTACATTATCTAGTTTTTAACTATTATAGTGAGAACTGCCAGCTCTTTATCTAATCTCCCATAATGTATCTTAATCATACTCCTTGCAGTGTTTCGTTTGATTAGACCTCTGGGGCCATTGCTTCAGGAATATGGAGATTAATCTACAAGAGACTGTTCAACAGCCAAATTATTTATAAATGATTTACAATCTCCAGTAGTCTATTTTTGTTTACTGTTTATGACAATAATAGGTTATTTTTTTTATAGTCCCCTGAAGCAACATATGTACATGTATAGAAAACTAGCTTGTTTATTATGTACATAATGGTTTTAATATAAGCTATAAACTTACAACTAAAGTTATATTCTTGACGGCCCTTTGATATATCTGGTTAATTTGATATTAAAAAAATCATCCAATTATTGTTTAGAGACATGGTGAGAACCCAAACTACTATGGGAAATTCCCTTTCCATGGTATATTAAAGTACAGGTCCAAAGTTTCTAATTAACCATAAAATGGGTTGCTTCTGTAAAAAGTCAATCAAAAAATCAGCCAGTTACAAAAAACTGAGAAAGCTTTAAGAAAAAGTGTAATTCATGTAGGTAAAAACAAAAGTTCTCAAATGAAAAAAGTTTTCCGCCTCTTCGGTCACCAAACTTCGCAACAAAGATAAATCATGATGTCTGCACAACCTTCACAAAAGATGTTCATCCTCTCGTTTCCATTTCATAAAAAATGAGATTTAGATTACTGTTTTGTAATATATCAAGAGCAAAACAATAAGGTACTATCATATAAACAGTTTTTTATTTTGTTATTTTTCAGGAACCAATCATGCTGAGCAGTGTAACTGGGTTCTTTTTTGGTGCTTCTGCTACCGAGGCAGACAGCATAACCCCTGTTGACCTTAAAACTAAGGATAACAATGAAGGATGGGTGATCGTAGATGTTAATGGTACGTATATATAGGGAGAGCGTAGCGTGACTGATCGCCACTTGGGGGGGGGGGGGGAATATTTACTCCGATTTTTCCACGGACCAAATGCTTTGAATAGTTTTTAAGTACATTGCGAAAAACTACACAAATTTCAATGGCTTTTAGTAACTGGATGTACGCAGGGCGCAATTACATGCCAAAGAAAAGAGAATCAGGTTTGAAACATCGCTCAGCAATAACAGTAATCGTATCCCTTGTTGTAACGGAGGTGTGCAAATTAAATGTGCCCCCCCCCCCCACCCAAAAAAAGTGGACTTTTGTCTCCATCATTTAAACTAAATAAGTCATTCACAGGCACTTGTGAAGGGATTAAAATAAAACTTTATTACTGCTGTAATATATAGTCAAGTAGTAGTAAGAAGTTTTATTTTAATCCCTTCAAGTGCCTGTGAAGTCATTTGGTGTGTCGGAAAAGTTGAATTTATTTCCAATCATTTTATGTTTTATGTTTTAACATAGAATTTTGGTGGTTGTTGTGTTGTTGGCTGCTTTTATTCATCTGCTTATTTCTTCTCTTGCTTTCATTTTATTCATTCATCAACTCAAACACTCACTCACTCCATCCATCATAGATAGATAATTAAACATTTAGTAGTAATCATAGTTTAACCTCTGTCTCCTGCTGCTATCTTTGTCTTTCATCATTTGTTTGATTTTTGAATTAGAATAGAATTTAATATCACTATAAGATTAATAGATTAAAATAGTTAATCCCTTTGTTTGGTAGAACCAATCCAATACCTATATAGGGATTCATTTAATTCAGATATGTCTTTCATATAAAAATGCAATCTGTTTCACAGAGTATTACAAAAGTCTTCTAATATCTCTGTAAAAGATGACTGCCTTCAACACATGACGTCATATCACACAGCAGCCATCATTTGCTCAATGGCGCGTGCACTGTTTACATAAGACGTTACTGATTCGAGCAGAATGGCGCCTTTTAATCATTTTAATACCCATTTACACTAAAATAGGAAATAATTGTTACCTACAAATACTTCAAACGTCTTTATTTATTTGTCTAATACATAAAAAATGTTTTAGAATTTAATTTGTCAGAGGAAAAAAGTTAATATTTGTGGCTCATTAAGTTGCATCGATGTCATCCTTATCAGTGATTGTCGCGGCCTAGCGAATATTCACTGCGGATCAGTGTGATAGAAATGTATACAGTCCTTGCGTATAAGCTTACATACATGTATTATCAATATTTCATTTTATTTTCATTCTGTTTTAACGTCTCAGTTTATTCTACCACGCTAAAGACTGTACTTTTTTGCGCAGTTGACGGGAGGGGGGGGGGCAACTTACCATCCAGATTTGGTCAAAATTACTTATAAATACCTTTGGTTCATTTTGTATTACTGACTATTGCAAGTCATTGTCAAGGAAAATGGCCTTTTTTCTCTGACTTGAATCAGTAGGTCGTGTTGTCAATAATTATGGAAAATTTGCAGAAGAATTCTGCTCCCTCGGTACAGTCTTATGAAAAGAAGACATAAACCAATTCATTGAGTAGCTACATTATCATGAGATGAATAGTGTTTCTATAACGGTAGTATACCCATAGACTAGAGGCTGGTTGACATTTTATTATTATGCTAATGAAATGAGCTTTGCTTTCTTTTATCTGCGCAACAACACTTAGAGTAAATTTTCCTACTATTAACTATGAAATTTCAATGATCTTCATGCATGTAGTTGAAATATCAAAGCAAGGCTTGATTTAAGTCAAATGTGTAAGATTGAGTAATATATGAAAGTTTGAGTATTATATGAAAGCTTAATTAAGTAAGAAGGATCAGGAATTATCTAAAGGTTAACTTGATTCCATTGCAGATGAATCAAAGTCACCCCAACAACCACAACAACCGCCATTATGTGTTGCTACAAGTGAGGGGGACCAACATATGTCCGATGTGACGGAGGGGGATAGCAGCTGTCCGTCCGAAACAGAAACAGACTTTTCTAACTCGCATCCAACTTCTTCTCCGGAATCCCTCAGTCCGAGCAGCCAGGCACATTTTAAATATCGTACGAAAGGCGATTCCGGTGAGAGCTGGATCATAACGCCACCCCCTTGTTTCTCGTTTTCCCGTAGGAGAAATTCTACTGTTGGTGACCATCCATTGGAAAATTTATTAATAGAACATCCTAGTATGTCTGTTTATGATTCTAATATCTGTGATAGTACTGTTAGTGAAATTAGCATGCATTCTGTGTCTTCAGAATCAGAGGATGAAGAACCAGTAGCGAGCCGAACCCGGCAACAAAGTCAACAAGAGCAGCCCCAACAAGTCGTCGTCGTCCCCCACCATCGTCAACCCCAGCTAGTGACACCCTCAGCTGGTGTCAACATCCAAGTACAGGCAGTTAAAGCAATCAGGCAGCAACAACGTAGAAATACCAAAAAATATAACAAATCTAATTTAGAACGTTCTAATAAATGCCGGGACTTTCAAGCAACCGGTAAGAAGCAACGTCAAAGAAATAGAAACTTGTGCAAAAGTGGTGCTTTGAATGCTCGTTACGGCCAGAGGTAAAAAAGGTCGATCATAGAACTAAATTATTTCATCATAAATTAAGTTAAAAGATCTTTCCCCCATTTTAAAATGATCTGAGTTAAATGAAGACAAAGAAATTACAAGTAGATTAATATTTAAAATACCCTAAAGTTATAATTGTTATTTAGAATAGAGAAGTCGTATTTATTATAATTATTGTTTTAATCACATATTTCTCCTATTTTCATCTTTATTTAACGTAAAAATTGGAATGAATTAAGTAATACATTTTAATTAAATCGGGGATCACTTGCCAGGAATTTTGAACCAGTCTTCCCATACTTTCTGTAGAAACAGTACTTCTGAATTAACAGAACCAAAAATGGAAAGTAAGTCCAGTGGTTTCCAAGTGTTTAAAATTTATTCAAAAGAGGGATTGATGCATATTAGCAGAAAATAGAATAATTAAAAACTATACACAAGCTTACTTGCTTCTTTATTTAATAAATAGAGAATAAAGTTTATTCAACTTTATTATGTGTATTTCGAAAAATAATCTTTCATTTTTACTGTGCACCTAATTAAATCTAGCGGCTCATGGTTTGGGTCTTGGGAAGCACTTGCTTTGTCAGTGTAAATATTTGAGAGACTGGTACAAGATTTTCTGGCAAAGGGTCTATGGGCTTCAGATATGGATTTTTAAAAATAACATGCTTCTGTTTTAAGTACCTAAGCCATTGGGTTTATTATTTATATGTCTATTGAAGAATAGTCCAATATTCAGTAGACAACAGAGGCATATTCTTTTTTAAAAAACATATTTAAAGACATAACAGTATTTCATCCATCATGATAAAAATTTTAAGAAAAACAAAAAACTTTTTTAAGACCATGGGATATAATCGTGAGATTTTATTTCCTATGGAAAATTAGTTTAAATAGATGTATTAGAATTATGTTTTCCATTTAAATGTTTGTTGATATTTTGAAATTTTTTTTGTTTTTAAACTCATTTGGAAGGTAGATATTATGTGTACATTTTAAAGTTAAAAAAAAAAAAAATCTGTAAATTTTTCCGAACTTGTTGTAAAAGTTTCCTTTCTTTTATTTGTAAATTTCACTGGTTGTTATAACTTGTATATTTTTAATTTTGCCACACAAAGTTTTTGCAGGAATGAAAAATACCAAAAAAATGTTTAAAAAACGGCAAAAAAATATGCTTGTGGAAAAAAAATGAAGAAAATATAGAAATGATAAATAAAAAAAATAATTTTATAAACTTTTATATATATCTGTAATAGTTATTTATTGACATTTCTCATATTGTACCTGCAGATGGTTTTTGGAAATTTATCCCTTGCTAGTTGTATAGCAAATATATTTATGTTCCTGGACTTGATGGAAATCTTGTGAATTAGAGATTTTTATCCTGAAACTGATAATCATTGCTAATTTTTACATTATTCTGCATTACATAGTTTCTAATACCATAAATAAGGTCGACTGTCCAACCTCGTGGGTTTTCTCCGGGTCCTCCGGTTTCCTCCCACTGCTAAAGACCCCTACGCGCAAGTGAATTATGGAAATAAAATTGAACCATATGTTAGTCCCTAAATGACCTAGTTTGTGTCGAGTGGACGTTAAAAACCCAATTTCTCTCTCTCACCATAAATAAGTATAAAGCATATAGAACCTCTACACATTTCAAATTAGTTAGTCATTAATATTAATAAGAATTTTGTATTAGAATGGTCTAGATTATCGTTGTTGCCATTATTAAAATCTTTAATATTATGTTTCAAATTAGTTAGTCATTAATATTAATAAGAATTTTGTATTAGAATGGTCTAGATTATCGTTGTTGCCATTATTAAAATCTTTAATATTATGTTTAGCTTGTTTGAGATACGGAAGAGCTACTCACTATATCAATTTGGCCATGATCTAAGTTTTTAAATCATAATTTTTTTTTTGAAAGAAAAAAACTTTTAAGATGGTAAATTTAAACAAGATATGTACAGATTGATATTGTGAGAGCTGTTTAATATCTCTACTTCAGCTGGATAAAAACCTTAATAATTAAGTGCAAATTAATCAATCTAAGTCATTTGAAGTTGAGATCAGTTGTGTGCACAACACTATTAAACCTGATGTCGCAGTATTTCAGATCCCTTCATGAAGAATTCGTAAATTTATACACACTTAAATTCAGTAGAGCCAATTCAAGTTTTTCGTGTGTGTAATTAATCTTAGATAATATTTGCAAACAGAGATCTGATGTCTTGTGAAAAATTCAAATTGGTCCTGGGGATACAGTTACTGTAGCTCTACTAACTGCTTATAACTGAGTCCTCATTATCCCTGGAGATGCCATGTAGTTTTCATGTAGCATTTGACCGTCTTAAAAATTATCTTTTAAGTATACATGTAAATTCCTAGGTGAAATGCAAATCAAATCTCAGGTCCAAGCTAGGAGACTTTAAGATTCTTAATAAAATCCCAGAGAATCAGATTCAAGTGTGAACTAAAATTAATAATTGATAATTAATCATACTTTTTGGTTAGAATGGGCACACAGCTGATGAAATTTGCAGTAACTTGACTTCTAGAGTCAGCAGAGTCATAAACTTGTGGTTTTTCTACCTACCACTGTCAATTTACAATAACAAATTAAAGGATTGGCAGTTTCAATCAAATGATAGGTTTCCACAAATATCCAAACTTCAATGATGATCATCACAATTTGTATGGAATTAAACAGAAAGTTATGATTGTTCAAAGTTCAAACTCTATTGTATATAAATTTAGGATAATGGATATTTGTGGCAATATTTCTCTTGGTTGGTTACAGATTGGTAGAAATTGATAGATTTTTAAAAATTAGGTAATTTGTTCATTAGCCCAGTTGAATAAATATTGCTCTTCGATTCTGAAAAATCAGATCAAGTCAGTGGGCTGGGTTGTTGTAATTACTATACTACCGGTGTTATTTTAAATTTTCCAGTTGTGAATACATTTATGTGTATTCGAAGCACTTTAAATAAACCAAATAAACTGACCTGGTTTTCAGAATCAGTAACTTACTTACTCAACTGGCCATTTTAGTCAAGTTATTTTTACCATTAAATCAAAAAATGATTATTGTTGAAAATCAAATCAAGTGACTTAACGATACCGGTAACGAAATATCAATTTGAAATCAGTGGGCTAATCCTTAATGAAAAATTGACCATCTAAGTTTGGAAACTATCAAAAGGAATTTCCCATGTCGCCGCCCCCTCCCCCAAATCATGTAATCTCACATAGATCTACCTCTACTATAAAATATCAATTTGATCATCATACACGCTTCTCTCTTACTGTCATGGCAGTGTATTTAACCTTGACCTTGTAATTTCAAGAGATTATAGCATACTGGCCAAGGGGTGTAAATCATTCTATGCCTCAAATGTTAAAATGGCTCCAGCTCTTTTTTGGTGACTGTGTCAACATAAAATTATAAAAATGAATGGTATTTTATAATTGCATATTTTACCTTTTGCACACAAGCAACAAGTGATTAAAATTGACTATTTCACATTGCGCATATTTTATATTGGCAACAAGTGAGTAAATTGCATATTTTATCTTGCACGCTAGCAACAAATTGCATTTTTTTACCTTGTGCACCAGCAACAAGTTATTCAAATTTGAGTAAAAGCTTGAGTCACATTATAAAGAGATTTTATTGGCCTAGATTATAAATATATATTATATCCTCATGTATTCATATCTCATTCACTTATACTGACATCTGTATTTAATTCAAATCATCAACACTCACTCTCTATGTATAAAAAAAACAAAACTCTCCTAAATTAATTAATATCATACTAAAAATATGGCTTAATTAAAACTTGTCTAATTAATGCTATTATTGCAATTAATTTTCTCCGTCCTCAGACATTATTATGTAAATTAATTAACAAGCCTGCAACCAAGAGTTTGAGAAGATTAAAAGCCTTGTAACTCAACTATCAATATTAAACTTCTATTTTGATTAGTTTATTGACGTAAATTTTTATATATTAAGCTAAGTGGTCAAATACCCATATTCTTAACTTCTACCGTAAACACTATGTATAATATTCATGTTAATACTTTAATTCAAATTTGAGATTGGGGAAAGCTTACTATTTAATCTTTTCAACTTTTCTTCATCTTAGTAAATCATAGTTACTATGGTGAAGATTTACTGTTATAAAAACTGAGTATTATTTCTGTTTCTTTTGGTGCTAAATGAAACGTAACAGATTTAAAATAGTGTTTTGATGATATTATTGAACTTGAGAAAATGTGTGCACGTTAATTAAAAAGGATGCCATTTAATTGTTGTTTATTATGTATCTGAAAACTCTCTATAATTATATACTGAACAGACAAGATTCCGTCTTGAAGTTGATTGTATTGATTGTGAAATACAATAATAATTGATTATGGAAAACTATACCAAATACGCTTGCCCATCTTGGTGATTTCTTTTTGAGTTTAGTCCACTTAATGAAGAAGTCACCATAGAAAAGATGACATGCATATTTGTATTTATTTTTCATAATTAATTTAAATTTAAGTGTTGTTTTTTTTTAAAAAAGAAAAAAAAATTAATTGTACTGTGCTTTCTCTGCTTTCAACAGCTTAAATGTAACATAACTCTGTAGCTTGGTTGGTTTTAAAAATAAAACAAATCCGGGTTTTTTTTCTCGAACATTTGATTGTAAATTTAAAAAATGCTCAATTTGAGTTGAGATCTAAATAGATGAGTTTATATATATATATGACTGCCATTGTCAGAATAATGATTATGTAAAATTAATTATGCATGGATTTGATCTACCTCGTTAGTGTCATAAAATTGTGATATAATTGGTTAAGGGTGTTAATTACATTAATTAATCTGCTGTATGTGCTTTTTACCAAGTTAAAATAATTGTAGATTATTTTTGCGGTACTAAATGAACAATTGTAGACTGGCAAACTTTCGTTATTGATAGGAGTTGCCTGATTCATTTGACAAAGAAATATGATCTTCACTAAATTATCTATTCCTGTTTTATGGATACAAAATGCTAATTTTTTAAATTATTATTAGCCTATTTTAAATCTGTATAATGTACAATTTTATTTATTTATGAAACTCATAAAATATTTAAATTTTAACATTGCTTGTAACAATATATATGCAGCCCTGTAACCAGAGAGATTGATTCAGCGATAATAATCTCCCCTGTTTGGAAATCCTTGTGTACTGTAGAATTAAAGTTAAAATATATAACAGATTTGCTCCGTGGTAATATATTTATAGGATACATATTGATAACAAAGTGTAAGGTCTCTTCATCTCTCACCCTGATTTAATGCTCAAAATATTCAAAATGAAGAAACTTTGAAGAGATTAATGATGACAACAAAGCTTGAATTTCAATAATTTGTTGTGTTTTTCCTCAGAAAGATTTACTTGAATTAGTTGAAAGTATATAAAAAGAGTGGCTACCCCCTGGGACTATATCTTGCCGTTAATGTCATCCTAAATGAATTAGTTGAGCTGGCGATCAAAGAGGCTCAGGGTCAGTGAGAGTTTGTCTTGGATTATCAATTGATTTAATTTCAAATTGTTTAAGTTACGATTGATTGTGTGTGACAAAGAATTAAGATTACACATGCTTTTGGTTTCATTTTATGAATTTGAGTGATTCAGAATTTGTTTTGAAGCCAATTTAAAGGCTGGTCCTTAAATTTGTAGATGTTGATACTAAGATTGAAAAATGAAAATATTGGTAACTATTTGTTGTATTATATATAACTATTATTAATTGTTGAAATCACAGCAACATGTCACAAAATGATGTTGAAAGAATTAGTGGTCTGAAACCTTTATTCACAATAATTTTACAGAAATAATGAATTTTATGCCATTATTATAAGAACTCTGATTTTTGTTTTAAATTTTTAGGTTTTCTTTTATCTTGAATACAGAATCAGAGAAATTATTCACAACAACTTAAAACTAAAATATTTTAAGAATTCATCCATTTCATTGGCCGAGAGCTAATATTTTTATGACAATATTAATCCTCAACCAATGATATCGCTGCTTCCTTAAAATATCTTAGTTGTGAATGATATTCCAGATTATATGATTCTATCAATGTTAAATTTGTTGACGTGTTGCCGAGAATAAAATGGTTATTTCCTGTATTTGATGAGACGTTTGACCCTCTTTATCTTGTATTTTTATAATACAATGTATAAAAGATCAGCGTGAAGAATGAATGTTTTAGATGAATGGATAGAATAAATAATTTTTTCCTGCAGATCTTTTTTTGTTTGTTTTTCTGTTTAAAGATACATTATGGGAGATTAGATTAAGAGCTGGCAGTTCTCACTATAATAGTTAAAAACTAGATAATGTAAAGGGAATTTGCTGAAAATTCAGTCAAATTGATCCACTCTGAACCAAGATTTTAGCGATTGAATTTTCGGCCTAGCCTCGATCATCATTACTAAAGTCAGTACGACAAAAAACATAGTCTCCATTATCCATTTCATGATTAAATCATGAATGGAAGTCAAACAGCAAAGCGGAACCTAATCCAATAAACAGCTAGCGATGCCATCGAGAGTTGATTATGATCTGGATAAGTTAATTAATGTCTGATTAATAATTTAGTTATCAATTCAGGCCTAAAGAAAGACCACCTGCAATAGGCAGATTTAGCTCTTGCATAATGAATGTATGTTTAATATCACTTATGAAGGAAGCAAAAATGAAATTGGGTTGTGACCCAGTGGTGCCTCTTTGCCGCTGAAGAGCACCTTACAGAGTCTAAGCATGGCTTTCAGTCACTCAACCCTTCTCTAGTTGACAGTTTATTTGAAGTCTTATTTATCTGTCGTTTTCGAATGGTGCTTGATAAATTTGACAGGGACATTCTCTGTAACATTTCCAAAGCATTACCAGAGGCAAAATTTTGATATAGGACCATTTAGCTTTCCAGTGCTATTTCTCAGCCGTTCGGGACCACTACTTAATGGAACTCGCTGTAAACCCTGCGGTTGTTATAGACTGAGTTGAACTTGACACAACCAGGCAATTATGGGTTACAAATTTAATAAAGCTATAATTAATGAACTTGCACATGGCTTTTATAGAGTTAAACCAGTGAAAACCTACCGAAGGTGGGGGTAGACAGCAACCCTACTCCTTGTCATATTGGTTCATAGAATAGCACCTAATCTGATTGACAACAAAGTTGTGCCGAGATTCAAATGTAAACTAATTTTTATGTGTCTCTTTTTAAAAAAATGGTGTCGCTTCTAAGGTACATATAATTCAATATGGGCCTGTTATAAGAAATTTGGTGGGGGGGGGGGGCGGAGTAACCTCCAACTTTTCTGCACCAACTGGGTTAATGAAGATGGGCATATATCATACTACATTAATTCCGCCTACCCTTCGTTGAATTCCAACAGTCAAGAGTTCTTTTACGTGCACAGCAACATGTAGGCAGGAACTTGTTTTTTTTTGTCACTTCCAAACAACTAGACAATGTTTATTTTCAGGCCTGCTATCTTGAACCAGTGTCAAGAGGAACTTTCTCTGCCAGTCCTGGGGTCGAAACCTGGACTGCCTGATAAATAATGAGCCTGCACCTTACTCACTGAGCCCCGGTGTCTCCTAACTGTCAATATACTTGTGTTTAAGTATCCAAAATAAGAAATATACATGTATGTGTGATGGCTCAGGGACTTGAAAAACCACATTATTATGACACGATTTTATTATTTCTTCAAAAACAAAACAGTAAAACAAAGAATGGTAATAAAATAAAAATGAAACATTCCAATTTACAACCTCTCGGAGATTCACAATTATTAATATTTATTTACATACAGGGTATCAAAAACATTATTATAAACATAACATAGAACCCACCAGCAGCTGCAATGAGAGAGAGAGAGAGAAATGGGGTTTAACGTCCACTCGACACAAACTAGGTCATTTTGCATCTAAAATATCTATGACATACATGTTTATATTTTTATAATCAGCTTCTGCAAAGGAGTTTTTAGCAGTGGGAGGAAACATAGAAAGCCAGAGAAGGTTGTGTGGTGACCCTACTTATAGTTTCATATAAGCTTGGTATCAAAACCTTTCCACTTGACTCAATGACAGACCTTACGATCTAAAGCATACATGATAGACCACTCGACCTGTCCTAAACCCCAGCCTGCTGTAATTTCATCTTTAACCCAATACCAATCATATTTCTAAAAAAATTGCTAGAAATCAAGCAAAAACATAGTTCTGCAGAGTCAATGGTAGTGCACGTTTGTCAACAATAATGAGTCACAGGCATGAACTCAGGAATTAGTTTTATGAAAGAGCTAAAAACTGATAGCGACTATGATTTCTTCAATAGTAACACTTCCCGAATATTGGATGAAAATCTGTCAAGAACTGACCACTGTAGAGTGAATAATATGTTTATCAGTCAATGGCAATAACCCTGGAACTACTTTTAAAATCAATAGGTACAATCTAAATATTTCTAAGAATTCAATTAAAATTACTCTGTAGAGAAGTGTGGAATGAATGAATGAATGAATGAATGAAATGTGGTTTAACATCCTAATTTATTGCACCAATCGGGCTAATGAAAACCTAAATAAATATGGGTATATACAATTTTACTTTAACTTTATTTTTAGATACATATTTACATATTTTCCAGAATTATTGTATTATAAATAACCTACACCTGATTCCACCTGTGATATAACTGGCTTGTTTGATTTATTGAACCTTTATATTAAAATAACAGGTTTGTGGTTGGTAGCCATTTGTCTAAAAGATCTTACCTATCACTGAAACTACAGAAATGAAACATTACTTCCCTGATGCACTAATCAATGAAAGGTACAGTACACTAGTCAGTGACAGTTATGATGCACAGATCAGGTGACAGGTATGGTACGCTAATCAGTCACAGGTATGGAATGATAATCAGTGACCGGTATGGCACACTAATTGTTGACAGGTATGGTACATGTAGCCAATCAGTAACAGGTATGGCACACTAATCAGTTATGGGTAGGGTACACTAATCAGTGACAGGTATGGTACACTAATCAGGGATGGTATACTAATCAGTGACAGGTATGGCGCATTAGTCAGTGATGGGTAGGGTACACTAATCTGTGACAGATAGGGTACACTAATCAGTGACAGGTATGGCACAATAATCATTGAAGGTATGGCACACTAGTAAGTGACCCGTATGGCACACTGATTGGTGACTGGTATGGTACACTAATCAGTGACAGGTAGGGTATGTTAATCAGTGACAGGTAGGGTACACTAATCAGTCACAGGTATGATTCACTAATCAGTGACAGGTAGGGTACACTAATCAGTCACAGGTATGATTCACTAATCAGTGACAGGTAGGGTATGCTAATCAGTGACAGGTAGGATACACTAATCAGTAATAGGTAGGGTATGCTAATCAGTGACAGGTAGGATACACTAATCAGTAATAGGTAGGGTATGCTAATCAGTGACAGGTAGGATACACTAATCAGTAATAGGTAGGGTACACTAATCAGTGACAGGTAGGGTACACTAATCAGTGATAGGTAGGGTACACTAATCACATCAGTGATAGGTAGACTACACTAATCAGTGACAGGTCTAATTAAATTTTCAATCTATTTTATGTCCACATCTATCTTATATGAAGTAGTTGTTCATACCTCAAACATCATAGAATATCAATCAACAATAGTAAATAAACAACTACAATCACATTTGAAACATACAACATGCTACATGTAGAACCAGAAAGATTATACTCCCACATCGCGTCATATCACAATTTGATTCTTATCATAATTAAAACAGGATTAATAAAATCAGCTCAGATTGAAATTGTATCTTTTAAATGTATTCACATTTATATTGTTAGCAACACATAAATGTAGGATATATTTTACATCTAATTTTATGTAAATTATAAACCTTGAGAGAGAAATAGTCAGCTTTTCCTTGTGTCAAATATTAGTCTTTTTAAAATATTTAGCGGCTCTAAGCTCATAAAGTATGGTTTAGTCATTAAATTTATATTAAAATCTGTCTACTTGGTACATAAAAGTTAGTTTTATAAAACAATCTTATAGAAATCCTAAACATTTAACAAACCACATTATGGTAACACACATGGGTATCATGCCAAATGGAAGGTTTGCTTACACTCTCTGGAACACCTGATGCCACTCACTACTAGGTTCATATGAGATGGCTCGGATGCAGTCATGTGGTAAGTTTACATAGACTACAGCTTTGGATTTAATTTTCATATTTGGAAGTAGAGTTGGCACAAGAGGTGGCTCGGATGCAGTCCTGTGGTAAGTTCACATAGCCTACAGCTTGGATTAAATTTTCATATTTGGAATTAAGAATTGACATAGTTTTTTTCTGTGTTTAGTTGCACAGTTTTCCTGCATTGTTTGTTAAGTCTTCAGAAAAGTTCAGCTCTCCCTCTAATAAAATGTGGCTACTAATTTTATTAGTATAGCTTTCAGTGTGTAATATTAGATGAGGCATTAAAACAAACTCCGAGAAACATTCCATTAAAATCATTTAACATACAAGACACATTTCTTCCGTGGGAACATTCAGCTCTCCGTCCAGTAAGATTTTTATAACAACCTTCCCGATGTAACTCGTTGTTCCACGTTTAATATTGGGCGGTGTGTTAAAGAAACATTTCATATCATCCTGTTTCTCGCGTCCTTCGGATTGGCTTAAATCTTTCTGAAACTCATCAAATGCTTCTTGTATAATCTAGTGAAAGAACAATTGAAAAAAAATAAGCAATAAGTATAACACATATAACAAATTAAAAATACTAATTGATCTCAGCTTAATCCACGCTAAAATTATTTAATAAATTAACCCAGAAAAAATCAAGATTATCTACCTGCTTGGATATAAATCAGATTAAAAAGAGGCTCATCAAAAGATTTCACCCAATACCTATATATAGGTGGTGATGAATTATTTATATCATCTCAAGAGAATGCCAAATACACACTGATCAGCAGTAAATATTCGCTAGGCTGCGCGATTGAGCCAATGATTGACGCCGCGTGATATGACGTCATTTGTTGAAGGCAGTCACCTTTTACAGAGATATTAGATGACTTTCCTAATACTCTGGGAAACAGATTGTGCCAAATACTGTAAAATTTTCAGTTCATCATATCTGTGTAAATACTGAATGGAATTAAATCATTTTTGAACAGACAGTCCTTTTAGAGATTTAAACTTCAGAATATTGCAGTTTTGACTGGATTCAAAATGATAGGGACTTAAAAAAAAGAAAGCAAAACTTGTATGTTAGCCGTGGTGAAACTACTAATAATGACACCAATCTGATTAAAATACACATCTATATATTTGGTTTCATACGAGCGACCTTTGACAGTATGATGTCAGTGTTCCAAATGGCTAATAGGAAATACAACTTTTGTTTTGTTTTGTTTGCTATCGCTGCAAATATCTCACATCACCCAAAACATGGGTTATTTAACAACTGTTCCAGATCCTGGTGTAGCGAAAACAAATAAAACGAAATTTTAAACAATAAGAAACTAAATGAAATAGGATCTGTGTTTTTATGAAATTGATATGACACCAAGGCACATGTTTAGTAGAGAATTTGTGAATTCTTTTTGGTAACAAAACTATATATTTATTGCACTACGATAATACCATGTCATAATTATATGGTTATTACACTAGAACTCAAGTCAAGTAATGTTTATATAAATGTATCATAATTATATGGTATTTATTACACTAGAACTAAAGCCAAGTGATGTTTAATTATATGGTAGTTATTACATTAGAAGAAAAGGTATGTTTTATAGTTACCCGATCCATGTTCACACTCTGATGAAAACTTAATTCTTGATTTCTCTCCAAGATGGTGGAAACTACCATAAACGTCTAAAACAAAGAAATAAATACATTACAAGATAGGGTTTAATGTCCCCTCAACACAAACCAGTCCTTAGAGAGATAAAAAATGGGGTTTACCGTTTAAAGTCCACTTGACACAAACTAGATTATTTTTGGACTAACCTGTCCTTAGAGTTAAGGACTAACTATGGTTAATCATTAATTTATTTTGGAAACAAGCAGGGTTCTTTAACCAGAGGTTGATAGACAAACTTCCCAGAGAGAAATCTGGTTTCTCGTCAATTCAACACAAACAAGGTCAGTTTGGGACTACCATATGATTCAATTTTATTTCAATAATTCGCGGGTCCGCAGGGGTCTTTAGCAATGGGAGGAAACCGAACGGAAAGATAACTCTGCAAAACACATTCTAAATTTTCTTCCTTTCACCCTAATCAACAATCACAAGAGTTTTCATTTTAATTTAACATAATTTCAATTGAATGTAATTTTATATGTATAAAAACTGCCACAAACCCCTCATTGAAGAGTATTTTTCTACAGATTGAAGTGATTTAGAAAGAGAGAGAAAGAGAAATGGGGTTTAACGTCCACTTGACACAAAATACGCCATTTCGGGATTAACATATAGTTCAATTTTATTTCAATAATTCGCTTGCGAGTAGGGGTCTTTAGCAGTGGGAGGAAACCGGAGGACACGTAGAAAACCCACAAGGTTGGACAGGCGACCATACTCCTTGATACGTACAAGCAGCAATCGAAACCACACCACTTGACTCAATGACAGACCTTCTGATCCAACACGCACGTGTTAACCATTCCGCCACCCAACCCCCGACTGATTTAGATGCAGCAGGGATGTAAATGTGTTGCAGTGGGAAGTATAATATATTAAATCTTTGGACGACTAGATTGTTCTGTCATGTGGTGTCTACTGATTTGGTCGTGGGTAGAGGTGTATGGATTCCATGAAAACTATAAAGTAACTGACCTCCACCATGATCTGTCTATAAGAAGGATCAACTATTTTACTCAGCATCTGTTCTACCAGTAGAGAGAAATTTAACTCATACATTGTCATATCAGACTGGGTTGGTTGCTGTAACAAATAATAATAAATCAACTTAACTGATCTACTGAATGTTGGCGGTTGATGGTCGAACCTAAAGAGTTTAGTTATAACGTACTGATAGCCTTGTGGGAGCTGTGGTGCTTATAGCATGCAGTGTACTATGAGGGAAGTCTTATTTGAACAGCACCTTTTTGAACTAAATGTCAAGGGATGGGCCCCATTTTTTTGTATCCATCCAAACAACTAGACATGGATCCTGCACGACCTGGATCGAACCTGTGACCTCCTTGTTACGAGCGAGCACCACACTCACTTCACAAACGTCAAATGAAATGAAATTGGGTTTAATGTCATACTTTTCTGCACCAAATTGGCCAATGAAGACAGCCAAGCCACCATGGCTCAATTAGGACTTACAACAACAAGTTAAAAAGCAACAATTCACCAAATACAAATATCAGTCTTTAATTAACAGAAGTGAAAACATGTTGAGTGGGGCTTATGTCGACTTTGCAACTCAAAGCAACTAGTTCCAGTCAGTTACAAGTGTGCTTATGTCAGCAAGTGAGGACAACTGAGAGCAGCTGAATTCTGAGTCCTGATGTCGACTTGGAACTGATAGCGATTACACTTAACACTTTGGCAAATACCTTAGAAGACGGCATGGTCGGTCTTGTGACAATTCTATTAAAACATTATTGTCAGCATCATCGACATTTGAAAAGTGGGTGTCTTTTTGTGCACTTCCATTTTGCTTATTTATAAAGTCACATGACACATGTCTCTTAACATGTGATGTTATTTCCATGGAAACGTGTTGATGCCAGTTGTAAGAACACTAATGTTGATGGCAACTAGTTACCGCTAGTTGGAGCAAGTTGCAGAAAGTTAAACATGGGCAACTGGCTTCAACTGACTGGAACCAGTTGTTTTTGAGTTGTAAGAGGCACTCGGATCAACCTTTTTCAGTTGAAGCCAGTTGCTCCTAGTTGCCAAAACAACAGTTGCTCAAAGTTGCCGAAACACCAGTTGCTCAAAGTTGCCGAAACACCAGTTGCTCTCAGTTGCCGAAACACCAGTTGCTCAAAATTGCCGAAACACCAGTTTCTCAAAGTTGTAAGGTCGACATAAGCCCTGCTTTAAACTGAAGTTGTAATAATCAAACTGTGAAATCTAAATTTAATATGGCACACATCAGACTTAGATAGTCATTAAATAAAATTTTAAGTGATCCAAAGAAGAAAAGATGAACTATCAATCCAACGATATATACCTGGGGTAATAAATAACCTGCTACTTTAATGCCACCTGGTGTTCGTTCCAATATCTGCCATACGCATTCATAGAAATCTTTTGGCACTCGATTCAATGCTCCATCTAGCTGTCTTTTCTGTAAGGGAGTTCTGAATTAAAATAAAAAATATATCGTTATTAATATGTACCAAAAAAAAAAACGGAACAATTATCAAGGATCAAAAAATAAAAACACAAATGTCTTTCACCATTGACTTTACTCATGGTGGTTCAGGGATCCTAGATTTGTTACTGGCCCGGTCGGTGCAGAAAAGTAGTATGTTAAACCCCCATTTCAAATAATTTCATTTGTCATTGAGTCTAGTGGTGTGGATCAATTCCAGGTTTGTGCATGTCAAGGAATAAGGTCACCGAACTAACCTGGTCAGTTTTCTACAGGTTCTCTGCTGAAGGACTCTAAGCAGATTATTGAAATACAGATGTACTATATTAACCAGAACTCTTTATAAGGCTACAATTTGACAAAATCAAGGGTGTGTTCAGAACTGAACAGAAGCATTGATTATTTTATCTTAGTGACCTAGAAACTAAACTCAGCCAGCACATTATTTATGCATTTACCGAAGAATACAGTAATATAAGTATTTACCTATAATCAGCTTGCGTTAATACAGAATACAGTAATTCCTCTATGTTTATAGTTAATATAGAATACAGTAATATAAGTATTTATCTATAGTCAGTCTCTATATTTATAGTTAATATAGAATACAGTAATATAAGTTATTTACCTATAGTCAGCCTCCTCTATGTTTATAGTTAATATAGAATACAGTAATATAAGTAATTTACCTATAATCAGCCTCCTCTATGTTTATAGTTAATATATTAAGTAGAAGTTTTTTAATACTGTGTGGTGATAAAGCATGGATGTCCACATTATTGTCCGATTCTTTCTCCATTTCTACTTGCATAGCTTTAACAAACCAACTGATTGAATAAAATAAATATAGACAGTCAATGGTATTTTATAAAATAAATGTATATAGTCAGTCAATGATGCTTCATAAAATAAGATAGGTTGCCAGACAATGAAACATACGCCCACAGCAGGTAAATCTTCTAAAGCAGTCGACAAGTTGATGATATCAGACACTGATATCAATTTAATACAATCAGATGATAAAAGTACAGTGTGGACAAAGGACGGACAGGTGCAACAACAATATACAACATTTACTTTATATTTCTAATGGCCACTTTCAGAATTTAAGAACGTACAAGATGGATCTAGGTAATCTTAAAGCTGTTGATCATCATATTAGGTACTTTATATCCTAGTAAACTACAATATTGTTAAAGTTGATTATCAGGTCAAAACCCAAAATGATTTAGTTCTATTCAGCAATTACTAAGATATGATGAACTGAAAATTTCACAACATTTGGCATCCTTTTCAGACTATATAAACAAACCCAGGGCCACCAATAAGTGTTGGGTTAGATCTTTAGATGGGCCTCTTTGTAATCTTGGTTGATATTTTGTTTTTTTTAGCGTGAGGGGTTAACATTAACCTATGTAAAATACAGGAACAGGATCAGTGACTATAAGATAAAGTTGTGTTCAACTTATTTTTAAAATAACTCCAGGTATGGGAAGAGAGAATGGGTTAGTGGGCTATATCCGCACTTACATCGTTAGAATTTGATTGTCTAATCAACCTAGCTGTAAGTCCGGTAAAGTCCACTGAAGCACAGTATTTCTGTCGCCGAAAAATGATTTCGAAACCAAATAAAATAAATTCAACTCACCCAATTCTTATTTTTAATATTCCTTCGAAGAGTCCAGGTGAAGTGGCAATTAATTTGCCGATACAGAGAATTAATTCTTGTTGTAAAACAGCTTGTCTTATGTCATGTGGTATACATTTACTATATAATATGTTTTTTATTTCATTAGGACTAACTGGTTTATCTAATACTTCTTCTTCATGACCAAATACACCTACTGTTATCTACAAATACAAGATACAACAGGTAAGATTAGGTGGTGGAGGGCTGGGTCTAACGTGTGTGCACTAGATCATAAGGTCTGTTTTTATCATACTCCTCGCAGTGTTTCGTTTGATTAGAGCTAATCCCACTAAACACTGCTTTAAAGGAAGCAAATTTCTGTTCTAAATTATGACTGGTTAATAGTCCGATTACCACCAATAGCTAACTGCGTAACAATTGGACCAAATATGTTTACATAACGTTACGTCATGACTGTTTGAAGACGAAAAATACTTTCACCGTTTTAATATTTTAAATCACTGTCAAAAGTTTTAGGGAAGACCCAGATTAAACGAAGGACTGCCATGTTGCTGTACTTGGGATAGATTTGATTTGAACAGGAAGAATAGACACACTCCCTCAGAAGCTCAAGTATCAGAAGTCAATCCAGCAATGGTCAGAGAGGGATTTCTGGGGCCATTGCTTCAGGAATATGGTTTTTATTAGCTTGTATGTTACAAGGGGTTGGGTGTCATTGAGTCAAGTGACATGTTTCGATTCTTAGCTTGCACGTTACAAAGAGTAGGGTCCCCTGTCCAACCTCGTGGGTTTTCTTCACTTTATGGTATTTAAAATGATGCCAGAAAGACTTTAGAATGAAATTGTCAATGTAGATTATTAAAATATTTATTTATTGCTTCAGTAAGTTGTAATCTATCTTAACCCGTCAACCCCATCATATTTTTTGTGGCCAAGAAACCGTAAACTCATTTTCATTTACTCTTACTTAAAGATACATTATGGGAGATTTGATAACGAGTTGGCAGTTCTCACTATAATAGTTAAAAACTAGATAATGTAAAGGGACTTTGCCGAAAATTTCATTCAAATTGATCCACTATGAACCGAGAACTAAGCGACTGAAATTTCTGCCTAGCCTCGATCATCATTACTAAAGTCAGTACGATAAACGGAATAGTCTTGATTATCCATTTAATCGTTAAATCGTGAAGGAAAGTTATGCAGTAAATCGGCTCATAATCCACTAAAGATTGCAGACTAGCGATGCCATCTAGAGTTGATTATGGTCTGGATAAGTTAATTAATGTCTAATTCATAATTTAGATAACATTTCAGGCCTAAAGAAAGACCTGCAATAGACAGATTTAGCTCTTGCATAATGTATGTTTAAATGACGAAAAGAAGACGGACAGACATAAAGACAGGATAATTAAAACCTACCTGTTTACCACGTACTAATACGGTTGTAACAGACGGAGCTAAACTGTCAACTAATTTACCCAACAACGCTGAACATAGTCGTACAACCGACCAATGTTTATGTGCTCCAGCTCGATGAATCAATTTCTCTAGTTTCTCACTGACTGTATATGAGTCAATACGGAAAGAGTGACCTTCTCGTTCATAAAGAATTTTTAAGATTTGACTCTGAGGCTGCATGTCATCTAATGATTTTAACAAAGTCACTAATTCATAGCTGGTCTTGGGTTTCAATTCCTAACAAAAGAAATTGGGAAATAAATAATACAGCAATAAATATCATATTAAATACTAACTTTTCAAGATTCCAAGACAAAGAAACTTGAATGAACTTAAAGACTACGCTTTATTTTAGCGATATACAAACTACAAATTTAATCTCTAACGGGAATATCAATCCAAAAGTGGTTCTATGCTGCTCCTTATGTAACAAGACGGTTGCCATCTTTTTCTGCAGTGAACGAAATTGATGGCCCTGTTTTAAACGATTGAATCCAAGCCGGGAGATAATCTAGCATTAGTACATATATTTGATTTTGTTTTCTTAATTAAATAACCAATCTGAGTACCGGTACATATTAGTGTGCAAATCTGGCATCGTTACTTTAACAAGAATGATCAATACAGGAGAACTATAATCTACATGGTTTCAATGTGGCAGGGGCAATATCTCTGTGTACAGACTCTTAATTTCATAAATGTTCCTCCTCTGATATTCCGAGCGCTTATAAATAAAATGAAATGAAATGGGGTTTAACGTCCTAATGTTCTGCTCCGAACTAGGCTAATCATGACGGGCATACGCCATACTGTGTGCTATGAAGGAAATTTTGCCCGGACAGCAGCACTACGGCCTACTCTTATATCGAATTCCAACTGTCAAGGAATCTTTTACGTGCATGCCAATGTGTACACGGGACCTCTGTTTTTCGTCCCATCCGAACGGCTAGACAGCTGTCCTTGTCAGGCCCTCCATCCTGCATCACTGACAAGGAGGAACCATACTGGAAAATCTGGATGAACTTTCTCGGCCAATGCAGGGATCGAACACCTGAACTAAAAACTAGCGAGCCAGGATCTTACTTATTCAGCCACTTTGACCCCCAGAGCGCTTACAGGATGACAACACTTAAAATGTGGGAAAATAAACACCATACCTTTTCATTCACATAATGGCCATCAGTTATATCTGTCAATGTTGGAAGATCTGTTAAACTTTTAAAATTTGACCCCACAACTTTTTCTTTAAGAGGTTGAAATATATCGGGATCTTCAATTTGATGTAGAAAATCTAAATGTTCGATACATGCTGACTGAATAAATGACTGAAGAAAAAAATGAGTTTAAAGAAATGAATGATCAACACTGACTGTTTAGAATTTAGAGGACTTTTATTGTCCATTTGATACAGCTTAAATCATTAGGGGCTGAGATTACGTAGCTAAGAGATTCTAGTACCCAGAAAAATTCATTTGCAGTGAGTCGCCCAGGAAATTTAGAGAACGGTTATACTCATTCGACGCCACTTTTCGACCAATCAGCAGAATTCAAGAAAATTCCATTTTGGGCTACAATAATTAATCATCAAACAAGCAATTGCTGATTGGTAAAAAATATGATCGTGGATAAGGCATGTATAACTCATAACTGTGTATCAGGGATCCTAATTGGTTGATTATAGTCGGCTTTGGCAAGAGCTGATTGATAAGACAATGAACCAGCCACTATGGTATCATAAATCAATCTACTTTCGGCTCAATTACAACAAGTTAATTATTACTTGTTGATTAAGAAGTCAATCAACTTGCTTGTTGGCTACAATAACAGCCTTACCTTAGTGAGTACAGGCCAAGCAGTTCATATGATTCAAGCAATTAGCTCATTTAACGGTAATTATAACGAGGTAAAAAAAAAAAAAATTTTTAATAATGACTTTAAAAAAAACAACCCAAGGTTACTGATTATCCATAATGGATTCAGTCTGTACAGAACATGGTGTCCATTTATAAAACACAGACCCAGACTTCCACCAGCAGCCATTTGGCACATTTATAAACAGCAAATTCTGGGTAAAAAAATCTATTGATGTATAATAGTAAAATAAAATAAGTAAACTTACCTGTAATCTTCCGAGTCGAACTCTGACCCCATCAACATTACCTTTTTTAAATTGTGCTAACAAATCTAAAAACTCTCCAAAATTGTGGCCCCTGTAAAATGTAGAGAATAGTTACAAGCTTATTCTTGAACATCGATTAGGACTTAAATGTTCTATAAGCTAAGCTGCAGAGTTAACACTATTTAACCCCAATTAGATATCAGATATCTCATAGATACATGACATGCATTGATATACCCTTCTATCAAACATAAATTATGATATGCATGTTGTTAACAAAACATGTGGATATCTTTCAAAGATATTTATTGAAAGATTTATATAATAATACAGACAGCTTTATGGATATCATTTACTAAATTCATTAACTGTAATGTTTCAAAGATGATACTCACATGGTTATCAAGCAATGATAAAATCTAACATGTT